TAGGTGGACTACCACCACTTGACCACTTGCCTCTGCTGAACACAGGCCAACTCCGAAAGGCCAGTTCTAGAAACCTCTACGTTGGCCCTTCGGTCTTGTAGCAGCTACAACTTTGCCCTTTCAGGTAAGTAGCAGCTACGACCTTGACCCCTCAAGCAGCCTACAGCTACCACTTCGGAACTGTCTAGACTCCTAATCTATAGGTCTATAGTTCGATTCCCTTCTACCCTCTGACCTACGACAAATTGCCTACCACTGGCGTTCCTACAGGTCGCAGGTTCAAGTCTACGGGTTGACACTGATACTGTACACAGGTAAGACGGGGATCTAGGGATCGAGCCCTGGGATCTGCATTCGCTAGCGCGAACTAGTGAATACCGTTTCACTCCCGCCGGCCTAAATTCGAGGTCCTCCGAGAAAATTTCAGTCCAAGGCAGGACCTTAACCTTTCCGCTGTCTTTCGTAAGCCCAGATTATATCGGGAGTGGTCTCTAGAAGTTAAGATCTTGTAAGCCAGCGGTCGTCTTCCGGTTCCTGATAACTAAAATGAACCTTGTATTGTTTCTGCGGACGACCCCTACCTCCAGTTCTRAAGACATCTTCAGCCACTATACCATCTATGTCATATCTTCCATCCATATCAGGTGGGATCATCGATCTACGGGATGGAAACTGATCACTTGTTTGACAAGGTAGCAACTTCGATGCGTGGAAAACTGGATACGTGTGGAGGTGTGCTGGTAGTTTTCTATTGTGTAGGACGGTCCATCTTCGCCGCCCTTGACTTCCTGAACAGGCCACGGTCCTCTATATGTCGGCAGTAACTTCTGCGAGATGTTCTCCTCCGGCGCAAACTCTTTAGAACTAACCCAGACAAAGTCGCCTACTTGAAACTGCGAAGGGCGACGATGTTTGTTCGCTTGCTCTATCATCCTATGCCGGGCTTTTCTGAGGTTCTCTACGACAGTAGCTAGTTCTTTCTCGTGCTGCACAACAAACTCCCTGGTCCCGGGTGGTAATCTGTGAATCTGATCCCGGTTGAGTCCCTCAAACGGTCTGCGCGGTCTAAAGGACTTGTGCAGTTGGTTGGGAGTGCGACATGTAGACAGATGCACGCTGTTATTGTACGCATTAGCAACTTTGGGCAACATCTCATCCTTGTTAATCTGGTCTGGTCTAATGTACACGCGCAGAACTTGCTGTAGGATCTTGTTCATCTGCTCGGTCTGACCGTTAGTCTCTGGATGACGGCCGAACGACATCAACAACTTAGATCCATATACTCCCACGAGTTCTTGCCAGTTCTGGCTGGTGAAGCGACTATCTCTATCGCTAACTATTGATAGCGGGATTCCATTCTCACTAACCCAACAGTTAAAAAACCTTTGTATGACTAAATCGGTACGTGCCTCTAAAGGCAAAGGAACAAAAACTGCGTATTTACTAAATCGGTCAACTATGACCATGACCTGGCTCTTGCCATGCCTGCTCTTGACTTGAGTGTCCATGAAATCGATAGACACTGAGTCCCCCGGCTGGTCCGGAATGGGCAAGGGTCTGAGAAGGCCTAACGGGGCGCGCGTAGAACTTTTGTTACGCTCGCAAACCTTACAACTGCGAACATACTCTACGCAGTCATTCTTCATCCCTGGCCAGGTATACGCGCGCATTAAATTGGCTAAAGTCTTTTGCCAACCAAARTGACCCTYTGTGTCGTGGCATTCGCCCAAGATCAGACTACGAATCTCTTCGCTATTGGGGATGCACAGGCGGTCAAAGACATTAGTCTTCTCAAATAATAACCCTTCCGTAGTGCGGTAGTTCGGCTCAGTCTCTGGGGCCTCTTTCACTTTCTTAAGGAGGTCACTATAGATAGGGTCCTGCGCGTACGCTTCTCTAACCCTCTGATGCAAGTCCTTCCCTATATCAAGATAATGCACTATCGCTCCAAAGTAATCAGCCCTTCTACTTAGAGCATCCGAGACTACGTTATACTTCCCTTTGATAGGCTTGAGCTCAAAGTCGTACTGATCTATTTCTGCGGCCCACCTAGTAAGCTTAGGTGTCATCTTGGCCTGCGTCTTTAACCACCGTAACGTTTCATGGTCCGAATAGACTTTGAAGTGCCTCCCAAGCAAGTAGTGCTTCAAGTGGTCTAATGCTTGCCTGAGAGCGTAGAGTTCCCTCTCATAGGTAGATGTCGCAACCTTCTCTGAAGGCATCCTAGCGGACATGAACTCTACGGGTCTATAGCCATTGCCATCGTCTTGCTGTAACACTGCGCCTATGCCGTACTGGCTAGCATCCGTAGTAACAACAAAAGGCAAGGACGGATCGGCGACCTTAAGGACCGGATACTCTATCAACGCCTGCTTTAGCTTCTTCATGGCGGACGTGCAGTCCTTGTCCCACTTCCAGATTGTCTCTTTTCTCAGCAATCTGCGAAGGGGCGCAGCGATGGTGGAGAAGTTCCTTACGAACTTCCTGTAGTAATTCGCTAAGCCCAGGAACGAGCGCATCTCTGTCAGCGTACGTGGCGTGGGCCAATCTCTAATCGCTGGGATCTTCCTATCTTCTGGCTTAACGCCGTCTCCGTCTAAGACGTGGCCTAGATACAAAACTTGGGTCTTCGCCCAATCGCACTTCTTTGCATTGATCTTGAAGTTAGCTTCTCTCAGCTTCTCCAAGACTTGCCTGAGATGACCCCGATGCTCTTCGAGGGTCCGGCTAAACACTAGGATATCATCTAGATAAACTACAACGAATCTGTCTAACCTCGGCCTAAACAAATCATTCATACACCGCTGAAAAGTTGCTGGCGCATTGGTTAGTCCAAAGGGCATCACTATAAACTCATAATGCCCGTACCTAGTCCGGAAGGCTGTCTTATATTGATCATCAGGGTGTACCTCTATCTGATGATATCCAGACTTTAAGTCTATCTTAGAGAAATACTTAGCCCCTTGCACTCGATCTAAAAGATCGTCTATCCTTGGCAGTGGCTCAGCATTCTTCACTGTAATCGCATTCAGACCCCTATAGTCTATGCACATTCTCAGCTCTCCCTCTTTCTTAGGAACAAAGAGGACAGGTGCTCCGAAAGGAGACGAACTGGGCCTAATCCAACCCTTCTCGAGGAGCTCGTTTAACTGCTTGCGAAGTTCCTCTAACTCCCGTGGGGACATCTTGTACACGGCGCCCTTAGGAGTTCTACTGCCATGCTCTATCTCAATGCGGAGCTGGATGGGCCGCGGTACTACTCCTATCGGCGGCTCGGTTAGATCCTTGAACTCTTCCAGCAGTTTGGCAATTGCAGGGTCCATCAGTTTCTCCTCCATAGACTCAGTGACTGGCCTAACATAGGCAACAAAGACCTGTTCCTCCAATCCCTCCTCCTCCACCAGTCTGGCGAACGCGGGGGCACTAAGGCAGCAATGCGCCAAGGAATTCTCTACCCCTGACACATGGAACAAGCGGGCAATCTTAGCCTCGCCTGACGAACTAGGGAGCCTACACTTGTGCTCCTTCAGATGGAGCGTTGCCCCGACTGCCTCTCCCCAATCCATTCCCAACACAATATCAAACGGGAGGCTGTCTTCTATGAGGAGAGTCAGGGAGTGGAGGACTTTCTCCACTTTCCCATCTTTCTCTAGGCGGAAATACGCCTGGACTCCTTCTACATAATCCTCTACAACCATGGTACGATTGTCCGCGAGGATACTAACTATGGGGTCTGTCAGTTTCTAGACTTTAAGTCCCAGCTTCAACTTTTGCAGCGCTTTCCTAGTAATATAGCTGCGGGTGGCCCCTGAGTCTACTAGGGCCCCTACTCTACTTCTAAAAATCTCTGTGTCGAAAACATAATCAGCTGCCCTTTATTCTCCTTCTTCATCTTGGCCCAGGCGGGCATCCTCTCTTTCAATTCTTAGGCCACGCCTGTGAGGGAGGTGTCTAGCGAAACTCTAACACAAGCAGTTTCGGGACAGCTATCTAGACACCGGCCTGCAACCTCTGCCATAGGCACATGTGGTGTGGGAGTCTCTTGCCGGCTAGCGCTATGTTCCCCACATGACCTAATGGTAGGGACAGTTGCTACCCCTACCGGCGGCTGCCTTTTGGCCCTTGGGCAGCCGTTCGGGTCTCTCTGTACTTAGGACAATATTTGATGATGTGGCCCGGGTCACCGCAGAAAATGCATTGGCCCCGGTCCAATCGTTTTTGCCATAAAGCCTGGTCCAGACCCAAAGATTCCCAAGGCCTACCCTGCGGTAGCCCTGGGTGCCATCCTCCTACCCTATAGGGAGACCTATTCCTAGGACGGTTTTGCGGGGGACCTTGACCCCTTCCTCCCGCTTGGCGGTTTCCTCCTCTGCCGCCAACCCCCTGATCGCCCTGAAACCGGCTCCCTGAGGCCCGGCCCCCTTGGCCCTGACCTCTTCCTCCTTGCGGCCTCCCTCCAGCCGCGACAACAGCGTAGGATTTCCCCTGCCCGCACCGCTGTCCTCCTCCTTTAACCCCCACTCAATCTGATTGTAGGGGATTTCATCCACACTACCTTCATCTAAAGTGAGCACAAGGCTATCCTTAGTCTTGACCTGCCCTGAGATAGTGCGGCCCTTCCACTTTTGCCTTTGTCTAAATCTTTGTGCCAGAAAGTGAAAATAGACGCAGACTTCGCCTCGAACGCGACCACTTTCCTGCTAAGTACATCATAAGTCATAGCAGGGTCCTGACTCTTGTCAAAGAAGTGACCACGCAGCACTTCGGGCATGGCCCGGTAGAAGTGGTTGACCAACTGGGTCTCTGTGACCTTGTGGTCCGGAACAGCCACTAACTCATCCATTGTGCCCTTGAGTGCCCTTGCACTCTTCCATTGGCGCAAGTGTATTGTCTGAAGCCTATCTGAGGCTTTGACACTACGGGCAACATCAGCGAATCGCTCGCGTAACAACTTCAAGAATTCGGTGAGGGATGTGAACGAGGAGTACGCTACCGGGTCGTCACTACAGTTGGCAGCGCAAACTTGGGACCTTGCAAAGTTGGCGGCCTCATCTCTAAGCACGTGGATCGCAATTCGGACCTGCTGATCCGGGGATACCTGTTGCAGATGCACATAAGTCTTAACATTGGCCTCCCAATTGTCAAAGTTCTCTTCCCTTTTCCCACTGTAGGAATCACGGAATTTGACTTTGACCGGCTCCCTGCGAGGACGGGCCTCCTCCTCCTTGGGAGCGGCCACCTTGACGCCTTCGATGGCACCGACACAAAAACGCTCAGTCTTCTCGAGGCGATGACTCACCTCGGATCCCACAGCGCCTACTAGTTCGCGAGCAAAATCTCGTAAGCCCGTTCGCATCGAGCGTACAGATATCTCCTGGCTGTGACTAAACTCAAAGTGCCTTTCTTACACTTTAGCTAATCGCTCAACGCTCTAGGCGATGATCTCCACTTTACGTTGGAGATCCACTTGCGGAATCAATTGTGTTGTTACGGCAGCCCTCACCTCCTCCAGTTCCTGCATTGGCGCATTCGCCGCCTCCACTCTTCTCTTCTTCTCCCTCATCACTGCAAGCTTCCACGCCATCCTTTGTTCATCCTCCATCGCCCGCCGTGTCAGAACATCTTCTTCTGCTTCCCATTTCTTCATGGCGGCTTCTTGCTCATCCTTGGGGATGTACATAGCAACCTCTTCCTCCTCACCAAGGGATAAGTTGGCGACCCACTCCGAAATCCGTTTCTCCATCTCTGCGTCCTTGCCGCCACTGTGCTGCCCACTCCTTTGCAGTGGCGGTCCCTCCTCCTCTTCATCCACCTCCTTCAGCTTCTCCTCTTCTTCCTTTATCAGCCTCTCCTTCTCCCTGGCCATCTCTTCCTCCATCTTCTTTAGTTTGGCCGCCTGTTCCTCTTTCAAGGCCTTCTTCTTGGCCTCCTTCTTCTCCTTCCTCTCCTGCAGGATGGCGGCCATCTTCTCCTCCTCCTCCTTCGTGTATGGTTGGGTGGCGGTACCACCTCGAGTGGGCCCTACTCTACACGCAAAGGTATGCCAAAATCCTAGAGGAAAGAGGAGACGCCAGAGGGTCCCCCAGAGGGAGAACCCAACCAGCAACCCATACACCGGGTAGTCGTCCATCGTGGTGTTGGTGCACGACAAGAAGTCCCGCTCCTCACCACTTGACTTACCCGAACACTGACTCTCGGACCACAGGGTAAGACCCTGTCAACTATGGTCACTACTAACCCAAGACTACTCTAAGGCTGTCACTACAGAACCAAGAGCTGATCAGGAGGCATTTAAGGAGATCCCCCAAACTCCGCAAGAATTCTTTAACGTCGCAGACAGGACGACGCGATCAGCTTGGCTCCTCTGGCGATTTCAGCCCACGACTCAGCCTCTCCAGCCTACTGTGCCACACCGAGCAGCCCGACGGTCTGTACCGGTCCTTGGAGGGGTTCGTATCCCTCGGGACAGTCGAGTCGTCAGACACAGATCATCAGCCGTAGTAGGTCCAGTAGGGGAGTGGCTCAACCAGGCCTCGACACTTAAAGACGGCCCTCGTTTCAGCCTACAGCCCGGAGTTCAGACCCTCTACACCGAACTCAGTAGACCTGCCGGACAGTACCGGTCATTGGGCTAGACAAGTTGTTTAACGAGCGCTCGCCACTCATGCCCAGGTCTCCAAGTGCCAGCGTAGAGCTTTGGTCCTACTAAGCCCGTGCAGGTTTGGCAGCAAGGCCCTATCCTTCATCCACAGAGTCCTAGCACCTAAGACAAAAGAGACTCAATGTAGAAAGAGTAGACAGACAACTCGGCAAGTACCGTGGGGTAAGTGCACATCCACAGGGTAAGGGGATAGGCTAAAGGGTCAACGAGATATCACCAACTCCAGCTTGGTCAAAATCTTGGGCAGCAGCTCCGGTCAACACCTTGGTCAACGCCGAGTCAACGCGGTCTATCCCGATCAGCGCTTGGTCAACACCCCTAGTCAACGCCTGGTCTACCCTCGGGTCAACCCTCTGGTCAACGGTCTGGTCAACGGCCGGTCAACTCCTCACCTCGGCTATGGCTGCCGGCACCTTCACCTTCGTCACCCTCGCCGTCTACTTCCCCCTTCCTTCAC